CCCCCCGCAGCAGGCTAAATGCTTACATTTACAACATATGTAGGCTAAAACTATATAAATGGGCAATTGAATGAGTGTTTTAAGTATTAACAAAATAAAAAGGGGTATCCAACCCCAATATTTCGATTAAAACACAAATGTTACTACTTCATTGAAGGTCGCCAGCAGAAAGGATGTTACTCTGGCAAGAGGTCGTATTTAGCTCCTAATCAACCACGTGTTTCTACAGCAAAAAAGCGCTTCCGGTTGCGGCACCCCCACCCCCACAAATGATTATTAAATGGGTCAAAGTGAACTCATTCAATTCAGTCAGACTTGATGTGACTTATGTATGGAAAAGTTTTGATTGATTCTTATATTGTATTAATTGTCAGCAGATCTAGCATGATGCATTTAATAGGCATTATGAATGCCCAATAAATTACAATAGATGTCGTAAAATTATTACAAAAAGTGTATGTTAATAGAGTGTACATGATTTACCATGTCATATTTGTAGTATCATATTACTAATTGCTACGTAATAGCATTGGTACATTTAAACAGTTAAGTACGATAATGCTGATAGTTTAGTTGAAATAATGTAACCTGCGCCCTTATCAACATGGCTGCGGTTACGTTCCAGTTTGTGTCGATCACGCGGTTAACATACGATACTCTCATTGGTTTAACCTTCGAAGGCAGAGAGATGTAAAAGAAGTGGATTTCTGCAAGTTGTCGGGATAAACGGACTGTACTTTAGAAGCACAATGAGAGTTGTAATAGGTATATCACTTATATTCATTTTCGCATTGTCACTGCATGATAGCGTAACAAAATAGTTCATTTTGAGTGCTAGTGTGTAACACTTAGAGCCTCTTGCGATATAAACATAGCTCTGATATTAAAATATTTAAAGAATATGTAAAGCATGTAAAAAGTGGAATATCCTGTCACCTTTTTTGAACGCATGAGGTCTTGTTCTTATAGCATGACTGGCTTCATTTATCAGTTGGTTACAGTATAAATGAGAATTTAATTTTGCTTGAGGTGATCTAGCTGTTTCGTAAGTGCTTTAATAGCGCATGCGCGTCTACACGTGCGCGGGATGGTTGCAAACACAATAATTATGCAAAAATGTCATTACGTAAAAAATGTCACGATTTGATCCAAATTGCTGTACAGTATGGGAAAAGACATCTACACTCCATATTCTAGTTGCTATACTGTGAATACAGTTGGATACTTTTGCCCCCCCAACCAATCCCTTTTTTACCACACTGGCTCTATTTGATCGAAACATTAATAAAGCTTTAATTTTTTCACTTTTTCACTGTCATCAGGCGGAGGACCAGGGTTTGTGGGTCGTGAGCTGACACGGTTGTTGAAAAGCAAAGGTCATGAAATCACACTTATATCCAGGCAGCCTGGCCCAGGAAAAATAACATGGGTATGGTTTAACTTACATTTAAGATATGCACTAAAGTCGACTTTTACTTAGTTAATCTATATTTACTTTTAAATTCAAGCTGAAGTAATACCTTGATATTAACCTGATTACAATGTTATTCAGTATTATAGCAATGATAATGAATTGCTTTGTAATGCCCAGCTCTGGAGTCATTCATGTGTAATGTTAAAATACCTCTTAAAGGTAAAGTTAAATCTAAATGTTGCATTTTGGTAAGTTTGACTGAGGCTTACCTGTCCTAACAGGCTGATGTGGAGTCAGGAGGCCTCCCGCCATGTGAGGGCGCTGTGAATCTAGCAGGGGAGAATATTATGAATCCTTTAAGATGGTAAGGATTTTGTTCATAGTGACAATGTAAATAAGTGATTGCATCAAAATAATTAGTTCTTCTTTTTAATATGGTTATGTTAATATAATTTTAATGTTTTCTCTAGGTGGAATGAAAGTTACAAAATGATCTGGTCTCCAGCCGAGTAAACACGACCAGAATTCTTGCCCAAGCTATTGCTGCTTCACCTACTCCACCACATTCATGGGTGCTTGTTACAGGAGTAGGTAAATAACAGGTGTTTTATAGCAAGCTAGACATAATATTATATATATTTTGTTTTAAATAATGAATAATAAACACATCTGTCTCCATTTATGTTCTCCTCTATACTGATTTGTTCAGTTAAGGGAAAAAAGTCAATTATACAGAATAATGTTTTCTGTCTACAGTTATTTTTTATAATGTAATTCTTAAGGCAGACTTTACATGCGGCTTTTCTCTGATTTTGTCTTCAGCGTGTTATAAACCTAGTCTTCAAACCCAGTACACTGAGGAGAGCGAATGGACACCATTTGACTTCCTGTCTCGTTTGGTGAAAGAGTGGGAGGCGGCAGGGCAACTACCAGAAACCAGCGCTAAGAAAACAAGACAAGTGATCATCAGACCAGGTGAATCTAAACAAATGTCTCACCAGAGTGCTAGATCTCACCTGCAATGTAACAAAATAAAATGTATTAAATTACATTTTAAAATTGGTTAAAATAGAAAAAATTGTAATAATATTTCACAATGTTACTGTTTTTACTGTATTTTTGATCAAATAAATGCAGCCTTTGTGAGCATAAGAGACTCAAAAACAGAAATAAATCTTACAAACCTTTGTTACAGTAGTGTAATTATATACTTTCTTCCACTCACCCTCAGGTGCAGTGTTAGGGCGTGACGGTGGCGCCATGAAACAGATGTTGATTCCCTTCTGGCTTGGCCTGGGTGGGACGCTTGGCTCAGGACGACAGCCCTTCCCTTGGATCCATGTGTCAGACCTTGCTGGCATCATCGCCCATGCCTTGGAGCCCAAAGAAGAGCCATCCACAGAGCCAGATGTATTTAATGGAGTTGTGCCTGCACTGAATACCAATTCTGAATTCACTAAGGAATTGGGCAGGACTCTAAAAAGGCCTACTATCTTCCCTGTGCCTGGCTTTTTCTTGGATGTCTTCCTCAGTTCTGAGAGAGCTGTCATCCTCACACAAGGCCAGAAGGTGGTACCCAAGAAAACTCTTGAGTCTGGCTTTGAGTTTCAATATCCAGATCTTACCTCTGCTTTAAAAGAAATTGTTGGATATTAGTAATCAGTCAAAACAGAGAAGAGACCTGAGGAGATTGTGATTTTTTTAAGCAGACAAGTGCAATATATTTCTTATAATATATCATTTTAAATTTAAACTGAGCATATAAAAAATAAAGCTTGCTTGTACTTGCTTGATTTAATGTAGATACTCAGAAATATACATTGTTCTCAGCTCCTTTGTTTGTCCCCCTTAAGAATGAGTCATATCTGTCTGTGTGTACAAAATGAGCACTTCATTTGTAAATAAATATCTATATGAAAATTATTGTCTATCTGTGGTATATATATTCCATCATTATATAATCACAGCAGATGTTATGTCTCTCATGATTTTGAGTGGCTATATTTGGCTCATCAGTCTGATCCATGGGGTCATCCTCTACATGGAACATTTACATATTTTTCTACAAAACACTACTTTTAGAACAAATGCACATCAACACATGATAAAGTCTATATATGGACACAATTCACTTACACCAACTGTTTAATGTTAGATATACTCAATAAGCTTCTTATCACATTACTGACTGCTGTAAAACTGGAAATATGACCAAAATAATAATAAAAACTTGCTAACCTCTAAATGAATCATGTTTATATATAGCACAAAAGTAAAAATTAGAACTGGTAGCGAAAAGTTTTACTATACAAAATCCTGCACATATAGGCCTATGAAAATACTCAAAATACTACTGGGACCTTGACTTTCTGGTGGTGTAGTATAGTATACTCCATGTAAAAGTATTGAAAACTTTTAAAACTTTTATAATTATTATGCATGGAGCTATTAGGACATGGGATTTAAAATAATCCCAAACCAAAAACTAGCAAAGGCAAGGGTGTTTAAAAAAATTGGGAAAATTTTAAATGTACAGCTTCTCTTATTTTTAGTTTATTCCAAAAGGTGTATGTATTATTTTTAATCATTTTTTTTAATGCAAGAAATTTGGTTGGCAAAGAGTCAGTTTCTGCTTGTTTCAATAGTATTTTCTTAATAAAATAGATAATTTCATGATATAATGTTTTTATATTCCAAAATATAATTCTGAAAACATACAGCTTTCCCTTTAAATTTATATACATGTATGTTTAGAAAAAAGGTTCAATGATACGTCATGCATAAACTACCCAATCACTGCGAAGTAATTTACATAAACACCACCCTTAACGTTCGACTTGAGAATAGTGTGCAATATTTTAACTAAAAACCAAACAATTATCTGGGAAACGAAGCTGACATGAAATGTCTTACAAATATACGTCCTATAAATATTTTTACTTTTCGCCGCCCTATATGACTCACCGTCATTGTAAAGAGTCGCACAGTCGCGAGGCTAAATAAAGAGACACAGTTTACGTCATAAGCCGGAGCGGAAGGAAGCTCACTGTAGAGGTCACAAACGGAGTGCTCGTCACTCGACCAATCACCTCGGGGAAGGTCTGAGACAAGAGCCAATCGCTGTCCTCACAGGACATCATCTGAACAGATGAGCGAGCGCACAGAAAGCATGGGTCAGAGCGC